ATATTAGGCCATAAAATCGATATGATATATTGACAGAATGAATGTGGAACATAATGAATGGACATATGTAAATCTCCATACACGTACCGGAATTCCGTATATCAGGATCGTAAGAAAATATTAGACGATATTTGAGAACAAAAAAATGGCTTCATGGTTAACAACGAAGGAAGCTTCACAGCCTGATGTCGAATGTCAAATCTTGGCCCGATGGTTTTAGTAGAAGTACGATTCTTGAACTGAAGGCTAACATCGAAAATCGTTCATCGGCCTCATCACTGACATCGGACGAATATTATCGGCCTGATGGTTAACATCGAATGCCGTTTCTCGGCCTGATGGCTAACATTGAATATCTTTCCACGTGCTGATCACTGACTTCAAAAATCGTTTCTCGTCCTGATGGCTAATGTCGAAGTTCGTTTCTCGGCTTGAAGGCTAAGGTCGTATATTAACTTGCAGGCTAATATCGTAGTACGTTCCGCGGCTTGATAGCTAAAACCGAAATACAATTTTCAGCCTAATGGCTAAAATCCAAGAAATTACCTTGGCTTGATAACTGGTTAGCATTCCAGTACGCTTCCAGGCCTGGTAGCTAAAATTGAAGTAATTTTCCCAGTCTATTTCTAACATCGGAAAAGTTTCTCGGACTGATGGCAAACATCGAACGCCATTTCAAGGCCTCATGTCGGAGCCAAGACATCGAAGCGAACATCACTGTTAGACATCAGGCCGAGAAACGTTCTTCGAAGTTAGCCATTTGACAAAGGAATGTGATACAATGATAGCCATTAGGCCGAAAAACATACATTAATGTTAGCCGCCTGGCCGAGGAGCTCCTTTCGATGTTAGCCATCACGCAGAGTGTCATACTTTAACAGCGGGATGGACGGGTTCGCCGCCTTCTTGGATGAGGCCTCGGAATGTGCTCTTGCGCCTGGGCCCCGGCCTGTGACCGTCCTGGAGGACTTCAATGCTCATACAACGACATCGGGATCCCCTAAGACGAACACGAGGGGACGGATGGTGGTGAAGTGGGTGGCGGGCCTGAAACCCCGGCTGTTCAACAGAGGGGCGTCGTGCACTTGTGTGGAGTGGCGGGAAGATTGTACAGTGGATCTCACTTGGGCTAACTCCACTGCCGCACGCAGAGTAACAGCATGGGAGGTGTCCCAAC